TTAGGCTCATATGGAGGGGGTGAAGGCTCTGCCATGAGCTCAGGTCAGGCCGGCTGTTTGTGGATTGGTATTGGCAAAAGGGTTGGCAGTTTTGGGATTGTTGGCAACGATATTGATTTAAGTGATTTAGGAATAGTGTTACTATTAGCATTGGTACTCTTGGAAAACACTATCGTTGTCGGTTCACTTGTTCTAGAGATAATCCATTCGTTAAATACACTCTCAATCTGAATCCCTAATTCATACAAGTCTTTAATGGTGAATAGTGGGATAGATATCATCTTCTATAACATATCGGGCTTAAGATTCTACACTACTATCCGAACTTGCTCCTTCTCCAAGGGCATGTTGGTCATTCGTGCAGTCTTCGCCCTCTATCTCATAACAAAGTCTATGAAGGGTTCTTTGGGATTCTGAGAAGTTGCCTCTAGCTCGCTAATTGTTACCCTCATCTGGGTATTGTAGGAATACTGATTAACAAATCCCTCATATAGTTCTTCCCAGTTCCGCTTGGTCGAGTCTTCCAGTTTGGCATACTAGATGGCTGCCACGTTTGATAAGGTCCTTCCAAATAATGACAATTTCTAAGCCCGCGTCAAGCCCATTGGTTTCAGGATATCTAAGAAGAGACGATCATAGACAATAGGATCTCCACTTCCAACAAATCTATCAATATGAGGCATTTTGAACGTCTCTGGCAATCTTACAGAAGCCTCAATATAACCATCTTCAATGTCTGGGATTGAATTGAAGCCTTAAGATTTCTTAAGCATCTTCTCCAGCTTGGTGATTTTTATCATAGCAGGATTGATGTCATTGATGTCGAAAGGAAGAAGCCCTTCGTGAGGCTGTGTCGAAGGCCTGCAAGCTTGGGCTTGAGCTCACACCTCTTGGGGATTTGGAGCCTGGAGATTTTCAGCTAGCGAAGGTGGAACGAGGTTCGGTGGGGTAGCTAGGACTGGAAGTGTGGTAGATGCCCCAGATGGGCGTTGCATTTCAGCAATGGTCTTATCGTACATGACAATTCTCTAGTTTAGTGTATCTATGGTTCTTTAAAAGGTCGTTATCATGGCCACAACTTCTTCTAGACTCCATCCCATCACGGGCCTGTTGAGTTGGCAATTGGGGAAATGGATGGGTGTACCCTGAGAGCTAACTAAGAAAATTTTGACCCGATTACACTTGATGTATTTGAACTGGATTAGTCTAGATGGGTTTGACTAGATTAGGCTTTTTAGACTGGGTCTTTTGGTATTTGATGGATCTTTTTTGAGCTGGCCTTTGGGGATCAGATAGACTGGACCTTTGTTGAGCGGGTTTTTTTTCTAGGATTGGATGGACTGTGATGGGTTAAGGCTTTCTAGGTCAGATTGGGTTGGGCCTTTGCTGAGTTGGGTACTGCTCCTTCTTTGGTTTAGACAAACATAGCATTAAAAACAAATGCCCCATCAGATCAGGATACGGGGTGTGTTAGTCAAAAAGAAAGCAAGATACAATTTTTGGCGTTGGTTCTGGTCTGGCTAAAAATTCACCCATATCAAACACAAACCCCTGAATTTTGACCTAAATTTTGATTCTAATATGACCCTCAAGTTTGAAAGGAATCGCCTCAACATTAAGACTCTCTAAGGATTACATCATACATATCCAAAGATTTCACATATTGCACAAAAGCATTCAAGTCACCCCTATGAGAGGTTAGGGTTTCCCTGTCCTAACTTTGGAATGATCTAGAGTTCCACTAATTCAAACAAGCGGTATCACAACAACCTGAAAAATGGGAGAGCATCCTACCCTAGTGTGCAGGTCACTAGACCTCACTACATGCACTAGGCCGATTGGTCCAAAAGGATACCTCAGTAAGATTACCTAATATACCTCTCACACCTAACACCGAGAAGTCAAATGAGGATCAAATGGTACGGTGATACTCCAGATCCAAGGGTTGTGTTTCCAACATGGTGGAGCCCATGACCGGCCAGCCTTTTGGCAAGCTTTGTAGGCAAGCCGTCCAGGAATAGCAGATGGAAAACACAGTGACTTAAGAGCACCATTCAAATGCAATGCAATGAACATATATATGTTGATAAAATGTCACATCATGAAATTCAAGTCAAGTTGATTGACTTGCCCATGCTTGGGAGGAAATTTACCTGGTGCAACTCACAAACAAGAGAGAATTGGAGTAGAATAGACAGATTTTTACTTAATCATGAATAGGTATAGAATTTCAACTTCAAGTTATGGGGTCTTCCTAGATTGATTTTTGACCACTACCCTTTCCTTTTGATGGAGGATGAAAGAGATTGGGGTCCTCGTCCTTTTAGGTTTCTGAATGCTTGGACCATCATCCTAAGTTTGCAGGTTTAGTGGACAAATTTTGGTCAGATTTCCAGGTTGAAGGTTGGGTCGGGTATAGATGTCTCATGAAATTGAAAGCCTTAAAACACAAATTAAAAGTGTGGAATATTGAAGAGTTTGGAATGCTTGAATCTAAGCTTAACGTTGCAGAAGAGGAAGTCCATGCCATAGAGTTAATCACCGAAGAAAGAACATTTCTGGGGACTGAACAAGCTAGACAGAAGGAAATAATTAGTGAAATTTGGAGGTTAAACAAAATATTAGAATGGACTTTGCTACAAAAGTCCAGAATCAATTGGGCATCAAAAGGAAATAGGAATACAAGGTATTTTCACATTATGGCTTCTAATAGAAATAGCAGAAATTCTTTGTGTTCAGTTATGATGAATGGCTCATTGGTGGAAGAACCTATAGAGGTTTGGCATGTGGTGAAGTCTTAGTTCATGAATCTTTTCTCTGAATCTTGGGCTGCTAGGCCCTCACTGTCTGGCTAGTTCAAAAATATTGGAGGTCATCAAGTAGCGGATCTGTTGGAAGTAGATTTTACTAAGGAGGAAGTCAGATATGTTGTCAAGAACAGTGATGGTAATAAAGCACCTGGGCCTGATGGATTTAATTTGGCCTTTTATAAGAAATGCTAGGGAGTAGTCAAACCTGAGGTAATGCAATTTTTAAGAGAGTTTCATCAAAATGCCTCATTAGTGAGTGGTTTAAGTAGCACTTTTATAGCTCTAATCCCAAAGTAGACAACCCATCAAGCTTGAGGGATTATAGGCCAATAAACCTCATTGGATCCTTGTACAAAATTTTGGCTAAAGTCTTAGCTAATAGGATGAAACAAGTGATGCCAAGGACTATTTGTGAGAATCAATCCACATTTCTTGGGGAAAGGAATATCCTAGATGGGATTCTCATTGCTAATGAGATAGTTGACGGGTGGAGAAAATCAAACAAGAAAGGTTTAGTGTTGAAATTAGATTTTGAGAAGGCATATGATTCAATCAACTGGGAATTCTTATTTAATATGTTATCTAATTTTGGTTTTTGTGATAGATGGGTGAGATGGATGAAAAGTTGTGTAACTTCCACAAAAGTTTCAGTTTTAGTAAATGGTTCACCTACTGAGGAATTTTTCCCACAGAGAGGTCTTCGGCAAGGTGACCCATTGTCCCCTTTCCTCTTCAATATTGTGACCGAGGGGTTGAATATCATGCTTGCTAGGACCAAGGAAATGGGCTTGATAAAAGGGGATGCCATCGGGAATAATGGAATCACAATAACACATCTGCAATTTGCAGATGATACAATATTGTTTTGTGAAGCTAAGTGGGTGGAAGTGGTGACCATCAAACGCATTCTGAGATGTTTTGAAATCTTATCGGGGCTAAAAATTAATTACCATAAGAGTGTGATTGCTGGTATTGGTGTGGATAAAGTGTTGCTGTAGAGTTTTGCCTCTAGACTAAATTATGCCCATCAGAGGCTACCTTTTAAGTACCTAGGTCTACCTCTGGGTCTACCTCTAGGAGCTAATCCTGGTAGGTCAAGCACTTGGAAGCCAGTCTTGGACAAGTTTAAATAGAAGTTATCTACATGGAAGACAAGATTGCTTTCATTTGCTGGGAGGCTGACACTAATTCAGTCCATTATGAGTAACTTGTCTATCTATTACTTGTCATTGTTCAAAATATCAGTGGGGGTGGCAAAAACTATTGAAAAGATTCAAGCAAACTTTTTTGGGGGGAGGAGGGGATCTGACCTTAGAAAAAAAGTTCACATGGTTAGATGGGATATCGTTACCAAGAGTAAATATTTGGGAGGTTTAGCGATCAGAAATATCACAGTTATGAATAAATGCTTACTGCTAAAATGGTGGTGAAGGTTTGGGGTAGAGCATCATACTTTGTGGAAGGATGTTCTATGCTCTAAGTATAATATGGGGGGTGGAAGATGGCTGCCATGTATAGAGGAAACAGCAGAAACTCAAATTTTTGGTCTAATATCATTGGTGCAATTATATCTACTCCTATGTTACACAATCTGTACCTAGCAAACTCAATTATTGAGTTGGGGAATGGTAGGAGAGCTCATTTCTAGCTGGATAAATGGGCTGGGGAGTTGAGTCTTAAGGAGGAATTCCCTAGACTTTTTTCTCTGTCCACTGATAAAATAGAAGTAGTGTCTAATTTTTATATCAGGAGTGGAGGGTCTCAGGTTTGAAATCTGGAATTCGGGAGAGCTCTGTTGGCCTATGAAGAGGGGGAGATTAGTCGACTTCATTCATTCCTTATGAATGCTCTAGCAATGAGGGTCACTACACAAGATGCTTGGGTCTTGTTAGGAAAATGGCAATGGTAGTTTGGAATAATTATGCCCCTCCTAAAGTCAATTTTTTTGGGTGGTTGGCTTGGCAAGGCAAGGTTAAAACCTCTAGCTTCTTACATAAAATCGGGATCTTAGCTACATCTGCCAATGTGGATTATGACTTCTGTCAAAATGAAGTGGAATCTGTCAATTATATCTTGCTCTTTTGTCCATTTGTTTGGCTGATGTGGTCTAATATTATGAAATGGTGGGGTTTTCAGTGGGCTATGCCAAACTCAGTGGAAGGGCTGCTGCAATGGTGGTCGTTTTGTAAAATGAAAAAGACTGAGAAGTTATTGTGGAAGGTTATGTCTTTGGCTGTTTTGTGGTCCACGTGGAAGCATAGAAATGATTGTGTTTTTAATGGTTCCCAGCCAAATTTTGAGGAACTATGTGAGGTTGTCAAAATAAGAATTTCTTTGTGGGCCCAATCCTTCCCAGCTAAAATGGAGTTCTCCATCAATGATGTAGTCTTCAATTTGCTTCAGGTTCAATATTGTATTTGGAATGAGAGTTGAGCTAACCATCTGTTAGTCTGTATAATTGGCTTTGGGTGGAACAGAGTATGGCTGCTGTTGGTGTGTTTGCTGCTGCTGGGTGTTTGATTCTTGGCTGCCCAACTATGCTCAAGCTCTGGCTCTAGGAGTGATCTGATATGTTGGTCTGTCTTATTCTGGTGTGCTGATAGGTGTCTTGGTTGATGGTCTTATTTGTTGTGTTGCAAAATGGTGCCTGAGCTTGTGTAAGGCCTGGTTTCTGAGAGGTGTTTCTATGCTAGTGTGGATTGGTGCTGGTGTTGCTTACCAGTTTGGTGCTGGTTTAGTGTTGTTGGTTGCTCACTGGTTTGGTGTTGGCTTGTGCTGGTGTGCTGACTTTGAAGCTCTATGTGACATTGTGAAAATGAGATATGGTTTATAATATGCAGCTTTTGTGAATGATCTGGTCTCAAGCCTAGTGGTTGTGTGTGTAAGGTCTAGTTCTGCAGCAGTGATGGTGTCTGGGCCTGTGTAAGGCCTGGTTTCTGAGGTATGATCTGGTCGACTTTACATGTACAATTTTAGTTTGTTTTATCTGTTATGGTTCTGTGCTTTTCTGGTTTACAAATGGACTGAGGCCATGTTGATTTTCTAATTATGAATGTGGAATGGTCTTGTTTTGTTGGAGTCTGGTATTGCTAATCTGCACTGTGATGCATTGATGTTCTAGCTTATTGTAGTGAATATATGAATTGATGGCTGATCTGATTCTAGTATTTGAATTGATGCAATGGGTGTTAGATCTGGTTTGGGGGATGAATCTGATTCTGGTATCTGAATTGAATTGATGGCTGATGTGCATTGATGATTTGGACTGAGGCCTTGTTGATTTTCTGATTATGAATGTGGAATGGTCTTGTTTTTGCATTGATGCACTGTGATGAGTCTGCACTGTTACACTAATGTTTGGGGGATGAATCAGCACTAATGTGATGCTTTGTTTTTTCTGTTGGTGCTCTGGTTTGGTGCTTTGCATTCATGCTCTGCTGCTCATGCTGGTGGGCTGTAGGTGGTAGTTGGTGGTTGTTTTTGATTTTTCTGTTTCTTTGGTTGGTTGCTCACCAACTCTGGGGGTGCTCAAATGATAAGATGGGCTTTTTGGTGCCAAAATAGTTGGGATGATTTAGCCCATTGTGATGCTTTTGCACTTGCCTTTCTTTATTGATGTATTTTGTTTTGTACTTTGTACTGTGCTTTACATCAATGAAGTTTCTTTGTTTTGCAGATCAAAAAAAAAAACCGAAGTTCAAGTCAAGTTCTCTAAATTCCTAGCAGAGTCGCCAGAAACTGTAGCTGGTTTTTCGTGCTCCTCGAAGGTGTTTAGTCTCCTCATGTATGATAGCCTACAGTTTGGACTCCCGTGGTTCTAAATTTGGTTTCACAAGTGCAATGTGAAACAAAAAAAAAAAAAAACAAACGAGAGTCCAAATCCAGCAAATCTTAGAAAATCCATTAATGATTAGAGATCCCAAAAATGGACTGTATTGCCAGATTTCAGAGTCGCTACCCATATATTTTTAGGAAAGTTAGGAAACTTGTGACTCATGCAAAAGGCCACTTGTCCATCATAACCAAGTGTCTCGACTAGGGAACTTAGGTTTGAGTGAAGAAGGTCATGAATTGAGGACCCCACTCACTCGATTAAAGATCGGCTTCTACTAATCATGATGTGAATTTTATAGACATTATATGCACTTCTTCTGATTATTAATAATGCTAACATTACTATGTGAAGCAAATAAGTATTGACCACGTCACTTACTTTGGAATGCTTTGATTTCTTGTGATTTTGAATTAGTTTTTAAATATGTGCTACTTGAATGAAAAGTGAGCTCATATGTACAATAGTCAAAGTCATTCCAACTTAAGTGAAATAGCCTTCATCCACAGGTATTCAAATAATTTTTTTTGAATAAGCACGTAGCCTCAGGATAATATGCTTGATATGGTAACACAAACACTCATGCAACATGCTAAAGAAAAAAAAATGCTCACCTAGTACTCCGAGGCAAGCCAATACGGAGAAAACAATTAGAAAAATGCATGCTCTAATATGCAAGTGACTAATGCAACACATACAAAATGCAACTACTAGGTTCGGTTTATTTGACATGTCATATGGATCAACTCAAAGCATACAGTAACGCACGTATTCAACTAAGTAAGAAAATGACAATGATATTAGAATGATGAACCGAACCCACTGCATACAAAAATGGATACAACGCATGGCAATGATATGAAATCAAAACATGATACTACCATGGTAAACATGTAAGTGAAAAAAAAAAAGAAATGGGGGTTGGAAGACATACAAATATTACAAGTTTACCTTCATACGATAGGGTCCAGATGAATGTTCTAATTAAGCTAATTATTACAAACCCCAAATGAATTAACTAAATCAACTAGCTATTACAAATTCGAATGAAGCCAACTAATTAATTACACATATTAATAGTAAAGTACTAATTTAATGGACTTAAACGGAAGAGAGGAGCCGTATTCGCACAACCGAGAACATCCTCTCGGAAAGCTCTCTGTTTGCTGCTAGAATCTACTCTGTTTGTAGTTAGCAAATTATTCTGTTTTAGCCTCAGATTCTGTTCTGTTCTACTATAAAAATTCCACTACCTGTATAAAATAGGTGGCCGACCGTTCGGCCTTGAAAAGTGGTCGGTTGTACAGAATGATGGTCGGTCGGCCACTGCTTTTGGAGGATACCTTGCTACCAGAGAGCTGAAACAGAGCAAAAACAGAGTGTTTTCAGAAGATGTTTAACCTCTCTGCCCTTTCCTATCACAAAGATGATCAAGGGAGGAGTAGATTCGATTCACAAATCATCAATTGTCGCAAATTTGTTGCGTGATGATCTTAGAACCGATAGGACAAAAGCTCAATAAATTAACCAAAAGATAGACAATACCTCCTCCCTATCATGGAGTTACCTCATGGGAAGGAGTAGCCTTGCCTCATGAATCACCAAACATCACTAAAATAGTATGCGATGATTCAAGACGCAATAGACTTTGTATAACGTCTACCGAACCTAACCAAATTTTATTGTCTTTTTTACCTCTTACCTCTTTTTACTCCAATTTTATTAGCCATTTTACATTACCTTTCCATTTCTTATCTTTTCTTCAATTTTGTCCAAAGGTGATGATTACGTCCACTAAATCCAAAGCAATAAAGAATAGCAAGCACGACTTAACCCGAGAAATGAGCTTTTCAAACCCTTTTCTATAGGAGAAATTACAAAGGAAGTATCAAACTCATTTACAAGTGATAATGAATTCGGAGTCAAACAGAAAATGAGCGATAATGGCTAATCAAACTCGAAAAGAGCAATAATGACTAGTCAAACCCAAAGTGAGCGATAATGACTCTAAATCCAAACTCGATAATAAGCTACAATGAACCTTTCCTTTGTGAATTCCAAGGGTCTAACTAAAAACTTAGTCCCTTAGAAGTAAATACACGGGCAATAAAGAAAGGTATCAAACAAGAGATTGTGCTTAACATAAGAGAGCATACTCCTGGGAGGGGTTTAGTCTCCTCAGATACGATAGCCCTACAGTTTGGACTCCCGTGATTCTGAATCTGGTTTCACAAGTGCAATGTGAAATAGAA